TAAAAAGTCGTAATTTCAAACAGCGAATGCGAGCAAAGAGCCAGAATTTGGCTCCAAAATATGCCTCAAGGTTTGAATTTGGGATGTTTGGGATATTTGGAAAACTGCAGGGGGGTTTGGGCAAAATGTGATCCATCGCAGCTCTCAGTAATTGGCATATTTCCGGTATGAAAAGTCGTAATTTCAAACTGTTAACACGTCAAGAGAGCCAGAATTTGGCTCCAAAATATTGCTATAGTGTCGAATTTTAGATGTTTGGGATATTATGAAAACTGTAGGAAAGGGGGGGGGGCGAAAAATGTGACCCATCACCTCTCTCAGTAATTGGCATATTTTCGGTATAAAAAGTCGTAAATTCAAACTGCGAACATGTGCCGAGAGCCAGAATTTATCTCTAAAATATTGTTTAATCGTCGCACATTTTGGATGTTTGGGATATTTTGAAAAATATTTTTTTATATCCCAAAAATATTTTGGGATATTTTGAGGCTCAAGAAAGTGAAGCAGAGGCTCAAGAGAGGATGCAGAGGCTCAAGAGAGTGATGAAAAGGCTCAAGAGAGGGATGCAGAGCCTCAAGAGAGTGATTCAGAGGCTTACGAGAGTGATGCAGAGGCTGAAGAGAGTGATGCAGAGGCTCTAGAGAGTGATGTTGAGGCCCAAGAGAGTGATGCAGAGGCTCAAGAGAGTGATGCAGAGGCTCAAGAGAGTGATGCAGACGATAAAGAGAGTGATGCAGAGGCTCAAGAGAGTGATGCAGACGATCAAGAGGAGGAAGCAGAGGCTTATGAGAGTAACGCAGAGGCTAAAGAGAGTAATGCAGAGGCTCTAGAGAGTGATGCAAAGGCTTAAGAGAGTGATGCAGAGGCTTAAGAGAGGGATGTAGAAGCTCAAGAGAGGGAAGCAGAGGCTCAAGAGTGTGATGCAGAGGATCAAGAGAGTGATGCAGAGGCTCAAGAGAGGGATGCAGAGGATCAAGAGAAGGAAGCAGAGGCTTATGAGAGTAATGCAGAGGCTAAAGAGAGTAATGCAGAGGCTCTAGAGAGTGATGCAAAGGCTTAAGAGAGTGATGCAGAGGCTTAAGAGAGGGATGTAGAAGCTCAAAAGAGGGAAGCAGAGGCTCAAGAGTGTGATGCAGAGGCTCAAGAGAGTGATGCAGAGGATCAAGAGAGGGATGCAGAGGCTCTTGAGAGTGATGCAGAGGCTCAAGAGAGGGATGCAGAGGCTCTAGAGAGTGATGCAGAGGCTCAAAAGAGTGATGCATTGGCTCAAGAGAGGGATGCTGAGGCTCCAGAGAGGGATGCAGAGGCTAAAGCGAGTGATGCAGAGGCTCAAGAGAGAGATGCAGAGGCTTAAGAGAGTGATGCAGAGGCTCAAGAGAGTAATGCAGAGGCTCAAGAGAGTGATGCAGAGGCTCAACGGACTAAAGGACTAGCAACGGGAGGGAGGAAAAACAGAGGGAAGGGCGAGAGTGAGAAGCGGCGGAAGGAATGAGAACGAAGGGATGGATCTGCGGCGAGAGGGAAGACGATGGGAAGGGCGGGATGGGATAGGGGCGGGAGTGGGAAGGGCAGAAGGATGGAGGATGAGCAGGTTTATGAGAGGGAGGAAAAGGGAAGGAGAAGGTGCCTGAACGAGAGGAGGGAGTTTGGTAGTAAAATAGGAGAGGGAGTGGGGAGGGTGTTGATAGATGGTTATGATAAATGGATAGATTAATGGAAAATTTATATAGGTAGATAGATGGATGGATACATTGATTGCTAAATATATATATATTGACGGATAGACGGATGCATAGATGAGTTGATGGACGGAAAGACAGATGACTATATGGATGGATAGAAAGATTTGATAGACGGATACATGGATAGATAGATGTATATAATGATAAATGGTTGGTTTAATGGGAAGATAGATTGATGGATTGACAGATATAAGTAGATAGATAGATGGATACATTGATGGATACATTTGTGCTAGGTGAACAGTCGAAACAGGTGAAAGTATATTATTCGATTTGCTATTGCATCAACCGGGATTCGATCGGGGACCATTAGGATTATAACCATCGAACTCTCTCCATTTAGACGGTGATGCAGAGGCTTAAGAGAGGGATGCAGAGGCGCAAGAGAGGGATGCAGAGGCTCAAGAGAGGGATGCAGGGGCTCAAGAGAGGGATGCAGAGGCTCAAGTGAGGGATGCAGAGGAACAAGAGAAGGATGCAGAAGCTCTTGAGAGTGACGCAGAGGCTCAAATGAGGGATGCAGAGGCTCAAATGAGGGATGCAGAGGCTAAAGAAAGTGATGCAGAGGCTCAAAAAAGGGATGCAGAGGCTTAAGAGAGTGATGCAGAGGCTGAAGAGAGTGTTGCAGAGGCTTAAGAGAGGGATGCAGAGGCTCAAGAGAGTGATGCAAAGGCTCAAGAGAGTGATGCAGAGGCTTAAGAGAGTGTTGCAGAGGCTTAAGAGAGGGATGCAGAGGCTCAAGAAAGGGATGCGGAGGCTTAAGAGAGTGATGCAGAGGCTGAAGAGAGAGTTGAAGAGGCTTAAGAGAGGGATGCAGAAGCTCAAGAGAGTGATGCAAAGCCTCAAGAGAGTGATGCAGAGGCTTAGGAGAGGGATGAAGAGGCTCAAGAGAGGGATGTAGAGGCTCAAGAGAGTGATGTAGAGGCTCAAGAGAATGATGCAGAGGCACACCAGAATGATGTAGAGGCTTAAGAGAGGGATGCAGAGGCTGAAGAGAATGATGCATGGGCTCAAGAAAATAATGCAGAGGCTTAAGTGAGGGATGCAGCGGATCAAGAGAGTGATGCAGAGCCTTAAGAGAGGAATGCAGAGGCTGAAGAGAATGATGCAGAGGCTTAAGAGAGGGATGCAGAGGCTCAAGAGAATGATGCAGAGGCTGGTGAGAGGGATGCAGAGGCTCAAGAGAGTGATGGAGAGGCTCAACTGAGTGATTCAGAGGCTTACGAGAGTGATACAGAGGCTTAAGAGAGTGATGCAGTGGCTTAAGGGAGGGATGCAGAGGCTCAAGAGAGGGATGCAGAGGCTCAAGAGAGGGATGCAGGGGCTCATGAGAGGGATGCAGAGGCTCAAGTGATGGAAGCAGAGGCACAAGAGAGGGATGCAGAGGCTCTTGAGAGTGACACAGAGGCTCAAGAGAAGTATGCAGAGGCTTAAAGGAGTGATGCAGAGGGTCAAGAGAGTGATGCAGAGGCCTCAAGAGAGGGATTCAGAGGCTTAAGAGAGTGATGCAGAGTGATGATGATCTCTTCAGCCTCTTCATCCCTCTCTTTAGCCTCTGCAACACTCTCTTCAGCCCCTGCATCACTCTCTTAAGCCTCTGCATCACTCTCTTAAGCCTCTGAATCACTCTCATGAGCCTTTGGCAAAAAAAAAAAAAAACTTGAGCCTCTGCATCCCTCTCTTGAGCCCCTGCATCCCTCTCTTGAGCCTCTGCATCACACTCTTATGCCACTGCATCACTCTCAAGAGCCTTTGCATCACTTTCAAGAGCCTCTTCATCCCTCCCTTGTGCCTCTGCATCCCTCACTTGAGCCTCTGCATCCATCTCTTGTGGCTCTGAATCCCTCTCTTAAGCCTCTGCATCACTCACTTAAGCCTCTGCATCACTCTCTTAAGCCTCTGCATCACTCTCTTAAGCCTCTGAATCACTCTCTTGAGCCTTTGGCAACACTCTCTTGAGCCTCTGCATCATTCTCTTGAGCCTCTGCATCCCTCGCTTAAGCCTCTGCATCACTCTCTTGAGCTTCTGCATCATTCTCTTAAGCCTCTGCATCACTCTCGTGAGCCTCTGCTGAAGTATAAGCACTCTACCGAGTTGTGGGTTGGGTTGTCCAGAAAAAAGGATCAACGACGACAACACCACCAACCCACCACTATAATATTAAGCAACAAGCACTATAGAATACACCCACTGCACTGCTGGGGTGCAGATGTATCAACCCAGTTGGCGACCTTGTCAAAAGAAGATAGAGAAGGCAGGCGGGAAAGGAATTCCTGCAACTTTTTGTCTGGCAGGCAAGACTCAGGGGAAGTTATCGTTAAAAGGTAAGCCTGGGTCTTCCTTCACTTCTCCTCGGGTCTAGGCCGGAATTGCTAATGGCAGTTTCCCCGTGGTTGACTGAAGGGCTTCCAGGGTGAATCAGTGGCACCCCTAGTGGTGGGGGCAAAGACCTGCGGTGGTGGGTATTACTGGTCCTCTCCTGTGGGACCATGAGACTCCGGTGAGTCCCAAGAGTCGGAGGGGCTGAGTATTCTGCCTTCTGAGTCCCTTAGCAGCCGACTGCTAGCAGAGCCCCAGCCCACCCCCTGTGACATTATTCAGTATAACTCCTCGAAAGTCAACATTTCATCAGTTTCGTCCCCACTCAATCAAACTTCATCTTCTCCATCACTACAATTGGTATCGTAACTACTACGGCATAAGTAATTGAATATCCAATGTAACTCGTCGAAAGTCAACATTTCATCAGTTTCGTCTCCACTCAAGCAAACTTCATCTTCTCCATCACTACAATCACTACAATCGTAACCACTACAATCGTAACCACTACGACATAAGTAATTGATTATCGAATGTAACTCGTCGAAAGTCAACGTTTCATCAGTTTCTTCCCCACTCGAACAAGCTTCCGTTTCGTCTCCACTCAAGCAAACTTCATCTTCTCTATCACTACAATCGGTATCGTAACCACTACAATCATCACTACAATCGTAACCACTACGGCATAAGTAATTGATTATCGAATGTAACTCGTCGAAAGTCAACGTTTCATCAGTTTCTTCCCCACTTGAACAAGCTTCGGTTTCATCCCCACTAGAACAAGCTTCAGTTTCATTCCCAATCGAGCAAGCTTCGGTTTCATCCCCACTTGAACAAGCTTCGGTTTCATCTCCACTTGAACAAGCTTCGGTTTCATTCCCACTTGAACAAGCTTCGGTTTCATCCCCACTTGAACAAGCTTCGGTTTCATCCCCACTTTAACAAGCTTCAGTTTCCTCCCCACTCGAGGAATCTCTTACCTTCACATTGTATTCATCATCTAGCGGGTGGTGAGGAAGCCAACGGGTGATGATCAAGAAACCTGCCACAGCTCCGCCCATTATCAACAACGCACGAATTTTTAAGAATCTTTCAGTCATCTTCACCACCATCTTACCATCTTCACTAACGACAGAGCCAACGACGGGTCCATTAACGGGTCCAATGATGGAGCCAATGATGGGTCCATTAACGGGTCCAATGATGGAGCCAATGACGGGTCCAATGATGGAGCTAATGATGGGTCCATTTACGGGTACAACGATTGAGCCAATGACGGGTCCATTTACAGGTCCAACGATTGAGCCAATGACGGGTCCATTTACGGGTCCAACGATTGAGGCAATGACAGGTCCAAATCTTTTTCCCTTGTCATAAACATGATTTTCAAATTAAGAAATTAAAAAAATTCCAGAAGTGACCGCGAGAAACATCAGGAACATTTTCATCATTACGGATACGTTCATTTTCTGGATACTAAATTTGGTGTTTTACTAGTAACTCTAGTAATACCTATATAAGATATATATATATATATATATATATATATATATATATATATATATATATATATATATATATATATATATATATATATATATATATATATATATATATATATATATATATATATATATATATATATATATATATATATATATA